GCCCGAGGCCCCGCCCCCGCCCCAGGCCCGCCCACCCGACCGCCCCCGCCCGCACCCAAACCCACGCCCCACCCACCCCCACCCATACCCACACCCGCCCACACCCACACCCACACCCACACCCACACATCCACACCCACACCCTAATCCGTTTCAATTATTATTCGATTTAAAATATCTTGTCGTGCCAGTAACCAATTGTTGAAAAGTTTTTGAGATTCGTTGTCGTTTGGTGTTGTCATTGATCCGTTTACATCAATAAGAGAATTTTTAAAATAATTAAGAAAGTTTAATATAATATTTAAATCGCTTTTTGAATTTATACAATGCCATTGAATTCTATGGGTATCATTCAAATGTATTTTAAGCTCGCGTAGCATTGTTTCAAACGAAGTAATTCCACGACCATGAAGTACAATTGGAAGCTTCAGTTCAGCTGCTAATTTAACTTGGTATTTTAATATATATAATTGAAAATCATGCGAGTAGTTACTTGTATCGTCGAGTCCACATTCCCCGATTCCTACTGTAGTAGTATTCAGCTGTAATTTATTTTTAAAGATATCATCTAATTGTTGTAATACACATTGTGGATCGGATGGAAGATATTTTGGATGAATTCCATATGTTGTAAATATTTTTACGTTGGGACTTTGGATCTCATAGTTTGCGAACCATCTGTAATATTGATGACGACTATCAATGAATATGATTTTTCTTCCATATGAAAGTTGTACATTAAAGTCATTTTGATTTAATCCATATTTGAAAAATAAATCAACGTGGCAATGACCATCAAATAACGGTAAGGTGAGTGGCAAATGGTATTTCTTTTTACAAGAAGATATGTCGTAAAGACTGTTTTCACAAATAGCAGTCATTTCCACAAAGGAAGTTTAAACAGTGACAGAAATTGAATGAATTAAAAAGAACAGAAAAATGAACTATTTTATTTGTTCATTGAAACATCGATGACCCTGCTTTATATCCGACAGGTAATGAACAAACGTTAAGCATGATCCATTGTTTATCAATCTGACGAATAACGCCACTATGACAACGACACAATAAATCACCAATCGTCACATATACATCCTTTTCATCAATCTCTCCAATTAATATCGACACAATCACTCGACAAACGTAATTATTTGATAAGCACTCAAATCAGAACTAGATACACTACGTTAACTTCACTTTAACGTTCAAGCTTACAATTAAAAGTTGTTAACAGTCCGCCTGACCTACTTTATTTTTCATTCATTTCCAATTACAGCTTTCAGACGATCTCTCGAACATCACTCAGTTACTCAGAACAGTTCAAAAATGAAAAGCTAGATTTACTTCAACTTTCAAAAAGTTAAAGCTCCATTGCCATGACTAATCTAAACCTCCTTCCATCGACGATCCTTTAACGTTGCTACTCAGTTCAACCAATTTATCAAACTAACTGTGTTCTCACAAAGTATATCGCTATAATATAAACTTCTCATACATATTAACCAATAACATCAAACGTCACTTTTTTCCAAAAAATATAATCTAACAACACAACATTTCATCAACTCTAACATGCACTCGAATGAATATAAACATGTACCTTTTACAATATCACTTGGAATTGATATAACTATTTGATTATTATAATATCAATTGACATTCATCTAAATACTTCATTTTTATAATATCAGTTCGAATTAATATAGATATCTAACTTTCTTAATATCAATTGAAATTATTATAAATACTGTATTTCCATAATATCAGTCAGAAGTAAAATACATATATGATTTCTATCATATAACTTTCAATTAATATAAATATTTCATTTTTCTAATATCAACTCGAACTAATACAGATATTTGAGTTTTATTATATTAATTGGGATTAATATAACTATTTCATTTTTTAAATATTAACTAAAATCCATATAAATATTGGATATTAAAATATCAACCAGAATTAATAGCAATGTCTGATTGTTCTAACTAAACTGGAACTAATATAGAGATTTGTTTTTTATAATATCAATTGAAATTCATATAGGTGCTTCATTTTTGTAATATCACTTGGAATTGATATAAGTATTTGAGTTTTAGAGAATCAATTGGAATTAATATAAATATCTTATTTTAATGACATTAATTTAAACTAATATAGATACTTGACTTTTATAATATAAATCAGAAATAATATAGATATTCGATTTTTATAATATCCCTTGGAATTAATATAAATGTTTGATTTTGCAAATATCAATTGAAACTAATAGAAATATTTGAGTTATACAATATCACTTGGAATTCATGTAGAGTAGTCCAGAATAAATGGGTAATTTTCTTTTGAATATTTTTTGATATATATCCCCATTTAATTTATTTTTGTTTTATTACTAAAAGATGCGCCGTGAAATTCTCTACCAGATGGAATAACTCTCATATGTTTGTATTTTAGAAAAAGATATTTTAGATAATGAAAAGTAAAGACTTACAAAATATAGTACTTTCTAAGTACAATAGTGGTGATAATCCATACAAAATATTTCGTGATTTGAACGGAGGTTTAGGTTTATATACGATCCAACGGTGGTGTAAGATGGTCGATGAAACTGGTGCAATTGCTTTATCAAAACCAACTGGACGTATACGTACTGTTCGAACGAAAGCATCCATAAAAAAGGTGAAGAAATGGTTAGATCAGAAGAAAAAAATCTCACAATGAATATTAGCTAAGAAATTGAAAATGAGCAAAACAACAGCTCGTCGGATTCTAATTGATGATTTAGAATGTCGACCTTACAAGATAATTCAAGAACCTGCCTTAGCAGATAAACAAAACGAAAATCGAAAAAAATTTGCTCATTGGGTGAAAAACAACTTTAACAAAGATGATATCAAAAGGTGGTTATTTTCTGATGAAAAGTTGTTTGATATTGATGGAGTGTACAACTCACAAAATGATAGAGTGCGGGCAATAAGCCGATCTGAAGCTGATAAAAAGGGAGGTGTAAAACAAAAAAGAAAATTTCCGACAAAAGTTATGGTCTGGTTGGGAGCATCAACAAAAGGATTAACACCATTGGTAATACTCGAAGGTTCTGTTAATCACGAACAATATATTAAGAAAGTACTACCAGTTGCACTACAATTTGGCAACAAAATGTTTGGTGATAATTGGGTTTATCAACAAGATGGAGCTACACCACACACTCACCATAAAACACAAAGATGGTGTGACGAAAATTTTCCATCATATGTTTCTAAAGATCGGTAGCCTGCTAATAGTCCGGATTTAAATCCGTTTGATTATTGCATTTGGAACGAACTGGTCCAAACAATGAACTGGAATCGAGTTCACACAAAACTGACACTAATTGAGGAATTAAAACGTGCCGTTAAAAAAGTTAAATTCGAAACTGTTTTAGAAAGTTGTAATGATTTTCTAAACGATTGTATCGTCTTTTACAAAACAATGGCAATTACATTCGCTAAATAAAGATATACCATTTTGTAGAGAATTTCACAGTGCATCTTTTTATGATAAAACTAAAAAAATGTACTAAGCAAAATAGTTGAAAAAATATCAAAAACAAAACTACCCATTTATTCTGGACCACCCGATAACTATTTGATTATTTAAATATCAATTCAAATTAATATAACCATTTGATTTCGATAGTATCGATTGGTATTAATATAGATATTTGATTATTATAATATCAAATGGAATAAATATAAATGTTTGAATTTTAAAATATCAAATGAGATTAATATGAACAGTTGATTTCTATTAGATTCATTGGAATTCATATACATATTTGATTTTTATAAAATCAATTGAAATTAATATAAATATTTGTTTTTGATAATAAAAGTTGCATTTGATTAAAAATCACATAGTTTTTCTTTTTTTTCATCAATTTAGATATTTTATTCACATGTTTCATTCTTCAGTTTTTAAATTTTTCTATAACTTTGATCAAGATAACAGTGTAATGTAAAGACTCAGTTCATGAACAAAAAAATATTAGTGTAAAATGTAAAACTAGTTTTTGATTAAATATTTATTCCTGTCATAATGTTTCTTTTCAATGAGAAATAAAAAAAAGAAATATTTCGTGTTGAACAACGCCTCACTCTGTTTCAATGTTACTAGCGACATTCACCATTTGATTGTATGAACTGTTTTTTTCCTTCTTTCTTGACATATTCGTCTGATGTTCTTCTTTTCTCTTTCTTCTTTCTTCTTATATAAATACAACGAATAATTTTATCTTATCATTCCTGACGATGTGTTTCAGATATGGACACGAAAGCTCGAATCTTCCTTGTTTTTATTTCTGTTTGAAATAAATATTTAATAAAATGTTATTTACAGCAGTTATCTCCCTCTTTTCTTATCTATTTCCTACTGCTCTATCTCTTGGATTTATTTCAAATCTTTGCTTGAAATATGGCGAATCGATTCTGACAAGTATACGATGTTGTGAAAGATTAACCGAGAAATTACAGAAAGCTAAATGTGATGTCGAATTTCTTAGATATTGTTTAATTTATAATTTAATGCCTAATTTTATTAACCCTTTGGCCGCCGACATAAGAGAGAGAAAAGAGTACTTTAGAAAATCATTATAGCTGTTTATATTTGATTTTAAGTCACGATTCTAGAACATACCATTATGAAATGGTGCTATCACAGGCTACAGCTGTCTGGTGCTTATTTCTATGCAATCTGCTATAAAAAGCATTCATTACGATTGATTACACTAGGTTTAGACACTCATAAAGTCTATGACGTTTATAAATGGCGGCGGTCAAAGGGTTAATATTCGTTTATGGAAGTCCGGTATAAAAAGATCAGAACAATATAAGTCTCTTCAACGGAATTGTCTTATGCGTGAATTTGAATGTAGATAAAAACAAGCTAGACAATTAGAAAAACTAATGCCATCTATTTTAATAGAATTAGAAAAACATCTTTCTTCAATGGATTACATGAATGTAAAGAAATTTTGTTATGATTCAGCAAGTCGAATACATACTAAAGTAATGAAAACTCATCAAAAGAAACTAGAAAAATTAAATCGAGGTCCTGTTGGACAAAATTATGAAGAAATCAAGCTAAAATTAATCCATAATGTATCATCATATACTCTTCCAAAGGTAGAATAAAGATTATTATGTCGTGGTTGGGATTTTTGTATAGAGAATAAAATAACGAATTTCTTATAGTTTGAAACAGCTTTAGAATTGAATGCAATGAAACTACAATCTCATTGTCATCAATCAGTTTTTAGTCTAATTTGTCATAAAATACATAATGTTTCACAACAATTAATGCATACATCTAAACATAAGAAAATAAGTAATCTATCAGATGAAGAATTAGCAGCTTTAAAATCACTAAAATCTAATAATAACATAGTTATATGTAAAGTTGATAAAGGTAATTGTATTGTGATATTAGATAAAGAAGCATATATGAAAAAAGCTGAAGATATATTAAAAGGAGAACAATTTGAATCATTAGGTAATGATAAATTTCATCGAGAACGAGAAGAAGAATTGAATAAGTATATTTTCTCATTATTTAAAGCAGGAGTAATAGATAATAAACCTCGTTATCAACTACAATCGATATGTTCTTCACTCTCAGTCTTTTATGGTCTTCCTAAAGCACATAAAACTGGATATCCAATACGTTCTATAATATCAACTATAGGAAGTTATCAATATCAACTATCAAAATATTTAGCTAAAGCAATTAGAGATGCATGTCCTCAAGCAGAATCTTATATAAAAGATTCTTTCGAATTTGTAAAACGAATAAAAGAAATTGTATTAGATAAACAGAAACCTTATATTATGTGTAGTTTTGACGTAGAAAGTTTATATACTAATGTAACAGTTGAAGAAGCCATAGAAACAACATTCAACTATATCTATAAGCCAAGTAAATTAATAGATGTTCCTTTCGATAAAGAACCAATGAGAAGACTTTTAAATCTATCAATAGAGACGCGCCTTTCAGATTCCAAAATAAAGGACGGGGGGCGATTTCTACAGAAATCGGCCCAATTGAATTTTAATGATCTGCTCGGGTAGAAACAAAGGAAATAATGGTAGAAAGTATACCTTATGGTTTTCAAATGATTTTGCTAGGTATTTACAAGTCCACGATCCGATCACTTCTTCAATTTTCTGTGTATACATTGGAGCGTCTTTTGGTTGTCAAATTNTACCTTCAGTTTTTTTCAATTTATTCATTATGAGTATTTTTTTTTCAAAAATAAATCTTCTATTCAATTTATTAATTAATATTTATATATTATAAAGAATTGTAAAGATATTGAATTTAATTGAATAACCAACTTGTTGTTTTTCTCAATGAACGTTATTTATATTGATGAGAAATATTTCAATTAATAATAATTTTTTTAAAATGATTCTATTGAGAGAAATGTATTCTCATATATATAATATAATATTATTTAAATAACGGAGGGTGGGGTGTGGGTGCGGTTGTGAGGTGTGGGTACGGGTGGGTGTGGGTGTGGGGTGTGGGTGTGGGTGTGGGTGTGGGTGTGGGTGTGGGGGTGGGCGGGGGTGTGGGTGTGGGTGTGGGGTGTGGGTGTGGGTGTCGGTGGGTGTGGGTGTGAGTGTGGGTGTGGGGTGTGGGTGTGGGTGTCGGTGGGTGTGGGTGTGAGTGTGGGTGTGGGGTGTGGGTGTGGGTGTCGGTGGGTGTGGATGTTTGCTCTTCTCTTTTCCTAAACCACACCCACATCCACACCCTTCCAGCCGCAATGGACTTCTCTGAAATATTATATATTTCAGTTGAGATTGGAAGGTGCGAAAGAATTAAACATAAAAGAATATTTTATCAACACTTTTGTAACAAACATGTCTATCATTAATATAAAGGTTTAGGAACATTATGTTTTAGTGAAAATCATCGATGCTATCCTGGTAGATTCTTGAGATATTTGATAAGAATCCTGCAAGAATTCGCTGTTTTTTCTGAGGAAATGAGAAAACTCTGAAGCGAGCATATAGCTACGAAACTTCAAGAATCCGGCTGCATTGAGAACAAGAATTAATGAAGATTCTGAGCAGTTTATCACTGTAAATTTAAAACATGAAATTCGTTCGGAAAACTGTAAGTTTTGAAAGTAACATGTAGCCTAGAAATCTGAAAGTTTTTCGCAGAATTTAATTAAGATTTTAGAAAGGTTGTCAACAATTTTCCTGGATTTCCAAATCGAGATCCTGCCAATATTTTCAAGATCTCCAATTGGTAATAATTGTGATTCTGTATTTCATTATCTTTCTGAGCTTCCTCTCGGACATTATCAAATACCTTGTCAAGATCGTTAGAGAACTTTCTAAACAAAATAGAAAAAAATATGAACACTTAGAGTAATGATCCCTAGACTCTCAATCTACAAATCGATCAGCTGATTTCTACTATGATTACCTATTTTTGTGTTGACAAACCATTTATCGGCTTGTCCACGTAATTGTCTCCTTCGCTGATCAAGTTTTGAAAAATCAAAAAAACAAATTTTTCGAGTTCAGCAGATTGTCATACGTTACCAGACGCAGATTTTAGTGCTGATTCCGAATTCGATATTTATTTTATAAGGAAATTAAATCTTGGCGTCGAAAAGTGAGTTTTTATAATTTTCCAAAACCGTATTTTGAATTTTTTTCGCTACAAAAGTTGTTCAGATAGAATCGATAATCCCACCATTCGGTGCAGAATTTAATTCTCTACCAAATAGTCTATTTGGTTTTGTCATTCGTAGATACTGAGGAGTCACAGAATCCGAAACATTTCCTGATTTAGTGTGTGGTTTATGAACTAAAGGTTCTATAGATGCACCTGATTCTTGCGTGAAAAGATGACTAAGATACGAAAGATTAAGATATCTAAAAGTGAAGTCATTTTGAACAAGTGAAGCACCTTGAACATTGAAGAAAGACTTAATGTGTCATAACGACGAAAATTGTGCCATAGCGTTACGAAAAATGTCACAGCGTTACGTTGGTTTTTTTACTTTTTTTTACGAATAATAATATCTAGAGGAAAAATTTTTTTTACCATTTGATAGCTCGTTTTATGCTCTATAAAGTTTTTTTCAGGCCTGTTTTAATTGGAGACAATCATTCGCAGAGAATTGAAAGAGGAGTCAGAGCGTTGGAAACTCATGGTCCTTTTATGTCACAGTGTTACGTGACTATAAACCGTTTCTGGAAACTAGAGAGTTTTACCTAATAAAGTCAAATTTATAGTGTAAATACAATCCGTCGAGCTGCGTCGAATGGCGTTTGGACGAGTTTTCTAGCTACTATAGTTTTCGAGATATTTCAAAAAAAGTTTCAAAAACGTCACAGCGTTACACTTGGACAAGCCGTTATAGAAGTTTAAAGGTAATCATAGCTACCATTTCATTTACTTGCATGATTTCGTTTATTTGCACAAATATATAACTTTTTTACAAAAATTTTCAACATAATTTTATCATTGAATAATAACATTGTAAAATAGCATAAAAAATACTTCTTTAAATTTAAAGAGCTTTTTTTAAAAGGACAGCAATATACTTTGTTTGAAAGCTTTGATCGGTTTCTCTCTACTATTCTCATTAATGTCTTCTATTGAAGTACTTTCATCTTGAATATCATTTCCGAAATCGACAGATATCGAATCAAAAAAGTGATTTATTAGAGTTTTCATTCTTACTATACTATTATCAATCTAGATGTAGCCGAAATTTTTAAAACTTTTGAAAAAAATGAACACATTTCAATGCTCTTTGCCAAAGTATATTTGCTAAACAGGTATATAGTATTCTTTCATTCCATACGAGTAAGGTATTATTGTGTGTGTAAAATTTGTGTTTAAGACGATATTTTAAGTTCAGATATAATTTTGCATATTTTATTTGACATACTATGGGCAGAAAAACATAACAATAGCAGAGATCTTATTTTCATTCAGCATATTCATAAATCATTTCGGTATTGTTTTGTTTGCGTAAGAAAGAAACACAATTGCAATTACCACAGTCCTTCTGAATTATCAAAAAGCTTCAAATATATATTAACTTATTCGAACAAAACATATCTTACTGTAGTTCTTTCCAAAGATGACAAATTAAAAAGTATTCATATTTTTTTTTGCCAAAGTATTGTAGAACTCTTTTTTTACTCTGTAATTTATTCCACTTTATTTAAAGAGAAATGAGGAAGAATTATTATACTACTTTACTGTCGAATACAAAAGTTAATTAAAACTAAAACAATAGAATGATCTTGTTTTAATTATGGAATATCCATTGTTGAGTTAATTGTTCTAATTTAATATCATGTACTGATTTTGTAACATGCAGAAATTAAATTTAATCGGACAATTAATCTTTGTCTTATAAAAAATTGATTAAATACGCCTGTTTGAATATAAATTAATCGATTACATTGATCATGTATCATATAAATTGTTTTATTCATATTTACTATAGAAGATTTTTCTAGAATTTTTTCCAATGACGAAAGAAGATGTTGTCCATAACAAGCACAATAATGATCACAACTTTCATTTTCGGATACAAATACATTATTATAACCTTCAGATGATGGCTATAAACGACGATCTAAACTTATTTCTTCTTCGTTTTCATCATTCGAATGAATATCATATTTAGTAAATCAATAAATAAATTTACAGTAAGATTAATAAATAAATCATTTGATGAACATAATAATGCATCATTTGTAAAATATTCAAATAAAAAATGTTGCGTCAAATAACAATTAGCACCAAATACATCTAACACAGAGACCGAAACGGGGCGGGGAATCGAGGCGGGGACCATTTTTGTCTGGGCGGGGCGGAGCGGGACGGGGCGAAGAAAGGTTACGACGGGGCGAGGCGGAGCGGGCTTAAGTTAAATCCCCGAAGTGTCCCCGTGTTTAAGTGGCACAATAGAGTGTGAGTGCGTGTGAATCATTTCTTCACTCACACTCTAAAATCTCGCGAACTATTGATGGATAATGAAGTAATTTTAAAAAATCTACAATAATAAGAACAGTTGAAGTTGATATTTATACCGATTTCAAAGGAGATAAAGACAATGATTATTTAAGTTCATTATCATTTTGGTAAGAGCATGAAAAACTTTCTCCAAATTTATCAATATCAGCATGTTGCATTTACTCAATACCATCCAATTAGAGCCATGCGGTTCTGTAAAAAAATGGAACGGAGAACTGAGTCGGAGTTGTAGAAACCAAAGATTTTAACTGAT